GCGGTCTTTACTTGGGCTGTGAAGTCTACTATGGACCTGCAATGATGAGTGATGGCCAGGAGGTTGAGACAGTTACGTATGGCATGACCAAATTCCTTAGCGACTGTGTCAAGAAGTATCGTGAATGTTCTGGATTTGAAGGTGATTTTCCGAAGGTGCCTACACCGAATCTCGTAGAGAACACTCGTGAATACAAAGCCAGACCCCCCAATATGGAAACTAAAGATGGTGTGTGCTTCTGTTCCTGGTGTAAGACCCCGGTTTTTAAGGATGAGGAACAATCGGATGCCATTGGCTCCGTGTATTCATCGGACGTCAAACTGCATTCCGAATATTCAAATTTTCCACACGCGGATGTGACCTGCGTCCTGGGTTCGGCCCGAGGCACAAATCCTGGGGCAGGGGAATCTGCTGAACCTCAAGGCAAATTGGCCAAACGTGCAGCTGGAGTACTCATGAAAATTCTCTACGCGTGCGTTCCCTGCGGCGCAGGCCCTTTCCTTTGCCTTTTCCTTTTCTGCGCCTACGGTAAACGCCTTTGCCTACATCTAGACTCGCAAAAGGTTGGACCCAAAAAAACTTGAATTCACCGACGTAGTCTCCAAACTCATTGTACCACACACGAGCTCTTGGGGTCATATTGCGGACCCAAAGATCATAAAGGGACATGGGTGCAATGATGCCTAGACTTGGGCGTCACCATCCATAGTCAGGACCAAGAAAGGGACATGGCGAATGGATGATGTGTGATACGCCCAGGGTATGTCACACTGAGGAGGCCACGGGTAAACACGGATGCCTGAAGAACCATCTAGACACCTTCGATTGGCAAAGAACACCCCGACCCTCTGCATGGGTTAGCTTATCCTACATAAACTTTGGGAAATGGCGATCATTGCCAGCCAAAGGGAGGTCGAAATCGGCATCGGGGTTATTCACATTATACACCAACTCTTTCTTCAAGATCCAAACGTTTCAACATCTTATATGTCCTCACCGGCAACCTCTGCCCTTGAAGAAAACCCCTTTCTTCATACCAGGTTAAATCCCTAAACAGAAGTTCCCCTATGAACTGTCCTACAGCGCCTTCTCACCGGTAGAAGGAGGACTCTCTCCACAAGTTTGACACAAAGAGCTGGAGAGCTGCCGGTCATAAGGAAGCGCATACCCTCTCAGCAACAGGGCAGGGAATTGTGAATGGGTCCCCAATGGCCTTGAGGTCCGATATAGTAGCCCCATCTTACCCACTTCAGGAAATACACTGCCGAAGTGTCCTTGCCTGCTCCCTGTTCAAGGGGTAAGAGATGGACCAAAGCAAAGACCATTGTGGTAGGCACGATACGGATAATAAGGGACGCCTTTCTACGGTAAATTGTGGGATCTCATGAATGGCATCAGAGTGTACCTCTGGTTCTTGGAGGATGCACCAAACCCTAGCCAGAGATACAGCGCACATGGCGCCACTGATTAGCAAGAAGCCATTCATGGTAAACCAGAATTCTAGAAGGTTCAGACATTGATTCCTCATCAAGGAAACAACTATTTCTAACGGCCCCAGTAGCTTCATGAGGAACCAATCTCTCAACTGCAAGCATATCTATGCTGGCATAGAAGTAGGATCCATATTCTGAGTCATCGCTATCTAGGTCGGGGATACGCAGGCCATATCGACTACAGAGTTTGTATCCGCTTCCTGACGCACGGCGCCGGTCCTCCGGAAAGGACGCCAAACGATGCGGAGAGTCAACCCGCGCATCATCAGAACCAACTTGCGCAGCATCATCAGGTTCGGCATCATCAGGAGTAGTAGGATTATCAGCACCGACATCGGGCCCATCATCTGGTTCCCCGATGTGGACCGAGCCTCCAAGAGTGGTGTCTGCAACACATTCAGGTTCCTCACGGTGAAGTGAACCTCCTGCATGGTGCATAGCAAAGAAAGACGCCGGCAGAGAGGGTACTTCTACTGCAGTTTGAGCCTCAGAGTGCGACGAAGCTACATTTGAAATGCCCTTCTTGTCTTTACCATGTTTATTTACCCTTCTTACCTTCCTTACCTTTCTTGCCTTTACCCTTGGACTGATAGCTTTCTACTTGCTCATGTGCTGATTCCTGATCCCATGACTGCCATGAATCTGCTGCCCAGCCATCATCAGGCTGGTTTGCCTGCCACCACCAGGATTCTTCAGTTTGCCAAGACGAATCCTCTTGGCCATGATCTTCCTGATAGTGGCCTTTCTTCTTGCGACGTGATTTGAAGAATTTTCTTCTGCCACGGCCTCTGCCGCGGCCTTTTCCACCACGTCCTTTGCGCTTGCCTTTTCAAGATAGACTGCCTTGAAAACCACGCTGGAACCAAGATTCATTCTGTTCATCATAGATGTAGAAAATATCTTCATGTGCATCCAGAAAGCCTTCTGCACCATCGTCCTCATCTTCGGCCCAGAAACCGAAGGAGCCATCAAGTTCTCCTTCATCTATCACGATGAAGCTCCTTCTTCCAGCGTGGCCCGCATTATTGAGGAGAGGATTGTCAACAGCTGTTCTTGAATTGCAGAACATCTCAATGAAAATGTCTCTGAGAGTACCGCCGTCCAACCCAACCAGATCTATGCCACGATGCGCCATTATGCTGGTAAGTGACATCCTCTGATCAAAAGACAACTCTGCGTGCGATACAAAGAGGAGTCCTATCCAATCTTCGTCAGCGGCACCTTCTGCATACGCGCTGCTCTTCGTCTCTCATTGACAGCGGTCAGGATTTGGGTCGCGGACATTGCTTGCCGAGCTTCCCCAGATACAGATGGTGTATATAATCTCACGTCATCATGTGCTGGATCATTGATGGGGTCAATGTGTCACCCCATGCTTCTTCCAGTCTTTTCAATTGCATTTGGTGTTGACATCCACTTCATCAAATCGGATGAACCACGGCGCCAGTTCATAAACAGCTGAAAACGGTAAAAAAAAGACCTGCGTCCTCTTGAAGTAAATCATGCCTTCTTCCTTGTTCTTCAAGGCATCCCTGTCCAGGATGTTTTTGTAGATGGTGGCATCTCCTTCAAGTCTATTCCGCAGTGCTGGCGCTCTCTTCTCTTCGTCCAGTTCAGGTATGTCGCACCAGTCATCAATTGCATCTTCAAATGTAAACCATGTTGTTTTTCCATCAAACGAAGGTGGTNNCCTGGGAAAATTGACTCGTTCGAGTTATGTCGTACGTCGCATTGCTTGCGTGGTATACGCCTCATCATAGAGGTCCTCATCACGCACATCTGAATAAAGATCATCTGCCATGGCTGCTCTGGATCTACCCGAGCCCTTCTCCTTTCGAGCCCCCTGTGCGTGGGGCCCCCCTGGGGTACCTCCGCGTGAACAGAGCCTCCCCTGGAGCGGAGCTATCACGTTGAGATTGGCCCGAGCGTGAATACCTCACAAAGGTGTACAGTAGACAGACGAGCGGGCAGCTCTTTTTCCACTACGCGCTACTCGAATATTAACTCCCTAGAACCTTGAGTGAGAGCGGCAACAACAACAATGCATCTGTGGAAATCTGAAGGGGAGATGTAGTACTAGTACTCGTAGTGGTCGTAATAGTAGTCGTAGTACTAATCCTAGTAATAGTAGACGTAGTAGAGGGCTCTGGGGGCAACCAAATCTCCAGCTCTATAGTCATCAGCACTGAGCCCTAACCCGAAAACGGGCTGGCAATCTTACCCGAAGCACGCTGGGGCTTCCACGAGGTAGAAGCGTTGACTGCCGGGCGCTCGTAGTGCTCATAGCTTGAAGGCCAGTGCTGCTGTGGGCACGATGGCTCCGATTTCAAGCTTTGGGGCTGCAACGCCTCTCACGCAAGGCTAAACTTGGGGGCCATCGAGGGATCGACGAGCAAGCGACATTGCGCCTGAAAGTGAGATCACATGCGGGCGGGCGCTGGAATCTCTATGACACTCTGCAGCATATGCTGCAGCTGAAGACAAAGCGGCCTTGACCATACACCCCTGACATGAGATGTGACAACACACGACTTTGGGACCTAAACTCAGGGCCTCACATAAACTCATTAACATTCATGAGTACAAGTACGGGCCTGGCAAGCAAGAATAGCAGCGCAGAGACAGGCCTTCGTTGACTTCGCTATGTGCTTTTGCCGGTGCCTACGAAGAAATCTGAAGACAAAGCGACACTCACTACTTCTAAATTGCTTACAGTCCAGCATATGAGCTGCGCGTCTGCGACAATCTGAATACCTGTTGAATGTGGAGCTAACGGTACTTTAAAAGCCTTTGCTTCGCCTATGTTCGGAGGAAAACAAACATGTCGTCACTTACGCTTACAATCTTGGTTCAAATTAGTTCTCGGGGCTGAAAGGCTTAAAGGAGGTGGAATCATTCCAGGAATCCAGGAATCATGTCGCCCTTACAGTCTGGCCCCCGTCCCCTACGCTTCATGCCCTCGCCGTTTGTTGTCCCGCAGGTCCCTTCACAATAAATTAGGAACACCGCCACCTCTGAATAATGGAATCCAGGCTCAGCAGAAAGACGTTACGACGCGTGCTTAAGACTTTCATGCAATTGGTGATTCTCTTTGCGATTCTCTCGCTGTCAAGAAGCTTGCAAGGCCCGTGTTAGAGCCGAAGCAACAAAACAAATTTCCGCACTGCTCCTGAAATCGCATCCCGCATCTTCATTCTTCGCCGGCAACAGAAAGTGTCTAAGCTCGCCTGAGGATCATGACGTTGGCCTTGATCCAGGGATATCCCGAGGCGTTCTGTAATGCTTCTGAAAGCGGGACATCACACTTGTAGCCAAGTTCTTCAAAGAGCTGGATGATATACTCCCTGCTGTGACAATTCACATGGCCGTGCCCGCCTTGTTTCAGCTTCGCCCAGGACAGAATCAAGCCCTTGCGATTGTGAGCGTGAAGGTTGGCAACGACTTCCTTTTCGACCTGATGCGGGATGTGCTCGCCGACCTCAAGAGCGATGACCCAATCCTGAGTTTGCTGCCCGTTCAACGTCCATCTTCCAATACGAAAACGACTCAACATACGAGAGAATCAGTTCTGAATAATAAAGGTTCTGGCTGATCAGACGAGCATCAGACACTACCAAATTCATGGGATACGAAAGATCGGTGAAACGCACATAACCATTGGTGAACTCTTCCGAATTTCCAGCTCCATCATATCCATGGTACTGCAGCGTGGGCAGGAGGGCGCGAAGGATGTGTCCGGCTTGCCCAACACCAGCACCACAATCAGTGAGCGAGTCCCCGTCTTTCAGCAAAAGCTTGACCAGGCCCTTGGCCAAACCTTTGTCAAACTCTTTGTGGAAGCGGGGAAGGAGCCAGTCGGCATCAGAGTAGTCTCCCTTTGTGATCTGCTTCGACTCTTCTGGGAAGTAGCACCATCCACCGGACGTCAAGATCTTGTCCTTCCAGGAACTTCCAGGGCTTAACATGATGTCAATGACTCGACTTCCCTACCTAGTTCTGAAAGCATGGAGGGCCTGGCTTGTGCATGCTTGAACACCAAGCCGCACCAGACAAAGCGATGATAGGAGACAAGTATGATTCTACGAGTCTAAATCCAACGAGAGAAGACCCAGAGCCGAGCAATAGAATTCCGGCGAAATAGAGTGCCATGATCGCCCCTGTGTTTCCAGACAATGAGAAAGTAAAGACAAGAATAGGAACCAACTGGGACTGCCTTTACGTTTGAGCTAATACGACCTGGGCCAACCGCATGTGCTTTGTCCAAACCCTGCCAACAGCAACATGAAATGAGAAGCGTATGCACACCCTGCGAGGGCACGTGTGAATCGGATTTGCTATGTACCATCTCAAGCAAAATAAAGCACATGCTTGGATGTAAATATACACTAGCCAGCTCAAAAAACAGCCGGGCTAACAAGGCTGGAACTGAATGGAAACTTCCCAGTCCTTGGCGCTGCAATCTGCTAAACCCTGAGCATGAAGCGCCGTCAATGCGGCAAGAGTCGAGCTCTCAGTCTTCTGCGAGATCAACGATCTGATGTCGGATGCCCCATAGCTTCTTGGGCAGTCTTTATGAAAGCCACAGTCGCTGCCCACCTCCATCTTCAATGGAGCCCTGGTCACAAAACTTACCGCAACCTTCTCTGAGGTCACAGAACCGGTCACAGAGCTTGCCGCAACGTTGTTTGAGGTCACTGAACCTACAACCGTCCCTTCTGACCTCTGTAGCAAGCACGAGTAATTCATTGAATAAACGAAACAAAAGGCAAGGGCCACGCCCGCACAGAGCGCAATCCTCCAGAAGTGCTCCCACATGATTCGGCCACACAAATCTACAACACGACAGCACAAAGGTGCTTGGGGAGAAGCGGCAGAATTATCGGAACAACGCAGCAGGCATCTATCTGAAGGGCACAAAGACCACTGTGCGTCTCCCCGTGTAACATAATGTGGCACCTCCTTTAATAAAGGGGACGGCTGAGTTGGGGAGAGGAGCGGGAGGGGAGAGGAGGGAGGAGAAAAAATGTGGAAGCAGGGGCCTGGGGTCATGGGGGTTCTGTGTTGCTGTGCCTGCTTCGTTTTTTGTCTTTCATCATGGTCTCCTAATTGTTGTCTTCCTTCGTGTCTTATTCGTTTTCGTTTCTGGGGTCTAGGGTTATGAACTCTTCTCGTGGTCGTCTTATTCAGTTTTTGTTCAGGGTGGTTCCTTCGTTTTCTTCTTGTTGGGTTCCTTGCTCGTTTTAGTGTTTGACCATGGACATGTCGTTCTCATTTCACGTAAGAATTTGTCTCGTCTGTGTCGTCTCCCTCCCCCTCCGTGTCTGTCGCGCTCGCTGCTCTCCCTCTTCCACACATACACGATGCATCTGCGGAGGCTGACGCGCAAAGCCATCAGTCAACATGGCTGGGGCCAAGCATGATACAGTCCCTTTTCGCTTTCTTTCTTTACGGGTGATGAGAGGCCCTATGGCCTCCCTAGGGCCCAGCCCTGTAGACCCTCAAGGTTCTCTGCGTTCGCGGGTCGCACCTCCCAAGGAACGACGCACTCACGGACTTAGACTCCCCGGTGGAACTCCAAAATCTCCCCATAACATAAACGCATTAGTCCGGGAGCACATCCTTTTCGCTCTCTCTCTCTCTCTCGCTCCGTCTCTCTCACACTCTCTCGCATACACACACACACACTCTGCGAAAGCCATTTTGCAGACGCGCTGTGTCTCACATCAAAGTACTTCATATCACTTGGACAGAAGCGACAAAGACATATCCATCGCAGCAGAAAAGCCCTGCATGTCTAGTCGCATCCATGGCTGCAGCTCGTCAGACCTGTTCTCCAGTACATGAGCTGGGTCATCTTCAACCCCAACCAGGAAGTAGTGCACCCAGGGTGCTGTACCCATTGCGCTCCAGTACTCTGACAGTCGCGTCCTATTGCCTATTTGGCATCCAATAACATGACGAGTGGCCGGCGAGCACACAAACTCAATCGCTGCTGCAGACCGCGAGCAATCGCCTCCATTTAACCAAAATACGTTGGAGAATCCGGTGCCATGCGGCCCAAATGCAAGATATGAAGAGCTCCATGCAAGATACTGCTCCACAAAGCTGTACCCTTGACCAGTAAAAACAAAAATCTCGTCCGATCGACCATGCTTTCGCAGTGCTGCTTTGGCTACACGCACAACTTCCGAGGAATGCTCGTCAGAGAAAAGACGCCCATGCTTGACGTTTTCTTCCGAGCGGATTTCATAAAGTACTTTTGTGGCCTTGGCAGGTGCATGGATGGCAGCCATGCGCGCGCGAGCATGAACATAGAAGGCCGTGGGCCGAAAGTGGTTCACAAATCTGTAACCCACGTCTGGCACGAAAGCAACCAGCGCATCCGCACACACAACTGTCTCACCTTGAACGTACACAGATCTGCTGTTCAAGAGAGGGTCCATTTCCTGAAGGAAACGTGCCACGCCACCCTCTCCGTCAAGAGGAAGGACCAATCTTGTATCCGGATATGAGTAGCCCATCCATGCTAGAAAGGGCAGCAAATCATGCAAGACATGCCCGTATTGGAAGTTGTTCCAGAAATGGCCTCTGTAAACCGTGACGGCGCCTGCTATATGAATATTGCACTTTTTTAGAGTGTCAGACCTGTTGAGCGGTGGTACAAAAAAGTGGTTTCTGGATATGAGATTTGTTTCCTTGGCACTGTTCCATAACACTGTCTGGTGTCGGTCCAGGCCCCCCCGGGAAATCTTGGCAATGTCTGGAAAATAGAACCGGGGCTGGCGCACGCGTTCAACTTTGAACATATCTTGGGCGACCAATGATTCTGGGTGCATCTTTGTCATATTCATCAGCCACCCGCTGAAAAAGTCGTAATTCTCTGTGCTGTTGAAGTCAGGGCTGATCTGCAGCTGTGGTAGAATCCTGTCTAGTTGGCAGCTTTGCAATGTTGCATTAACGGACACATCCTGATGGCCTTCCACCACTAAGCAGGACAAGCCTGTAGAAGTTGACCAGGGTCGCGGACTCCTTAGCAATGCCTCTGCCTGGTAAAGCACTATGACCATGGGCACCAACAGAAAGCATAAGAATAGTTGCCACCGCCGTCTTTGTGTACTGCAGACTTCTACCTGTCAGCCAAAGCTCGGCGAACCAAGGCTTACCCAAACGCTGACACGAACATGCTTGTTATGGACCTTGTTCTGCTCTGGATAAGACTTGATTCGTTACATCCATCAACGAAGAGTAGAGGCAAGCTGGCGCTCACATACCCAGCAGAATCATGAATATGTGGATTGGCAGTTCAACATTTGGACGCGCATGTACTTGCATTAGGTTAGGTAGTTTAAGGGACTTGAAATGATGTTGGAAGCCTTCTCATTCACAAAGTGGCTTACAAGTTGAAGCGATCATGCGGTCTCCCAGGGTTTCGCTTGCAGGGCAGCACACGAATCGACACATGCGTTATGCCAAAACCAATGACTCTTGAAGTTCGAAAGCTTGCTTTGACACTAGTCTGGAGCTCGCACATCAGCAGCCAAGCTTCGCTATGGAAACTATCATCAAGGTTTCTTTCCTTATCCTTACTCTTTTCCGAGCAGAAATGCATTGGATAACCTGAGGGTTGCACCACGTTCCGCGGTGCGCAAAGAACAAACTACCTTTTGCCACAAATGACACCCCTTGCAGCCAAGACACAACATGCATATTTGCGAGGATCCTCGTCCGCCAGCCTGCCAGCCGCAGGAAGCGAGTGAGACAACATCCACATTAAACTCATCAAGCCAGGAAAAGGCCTGTGCTTGGGAGCTCCCTGACCCTACCCACTGGCCAAAGGCCTGTGAGGTATGCAACATCTTGCTATCGAATCTCAGCGATCCTGCTACACGTCCCAACATGGCTTTTGTGACCGTACTAGAGTCATGCACTGTTGTGGGCTTCAGTGTCTTACGAGAATGCTTCTGATGTTGGGGCAACGCAAGCTTCTGATAGCTTCTGCTGCTGCGGAACACGTGTACCCCGGCCACGGCCTGCCAAGCCGATACAAGAAAGCGTGCTTTGGAGCAAGCAGTCAAGGTCAATCGTTGTCCACCCATGCCTGTCTTTGTGGCTAGCTAAGTTGCTCCACTCTACACTGCTTGCAACTAGCAGCCTCCATGTATTGGCGGAATGTGTACAATCTTCGCAGAGTCGAAGTGCAAATTTGGCAGGCTACAGCTCTCGGGAGCAATCTTCCCACGTGTATGTTTATATATATATATACATATGTACATGGTAAGCCCCCACATTCCCTTCTGCACAATTCACACTCCCGTATCCTCTATCCACGCCACTGTCCAATCCACTTCACACCCTGTAGGAATTATCACACAGTGACCATTTAAGGGTACACGCACCAGGAGGCTGCATGCAACCACTAAGCCTACTGTACTGTTGCTCCTGCCATGATCATGCTTGGGCAGGGTTGTGAACACGGCAGGGTAGCGAAGTGTCATTGAAACATGAAGGTGCTTGAACCAAGACCTTGCGAAAGTAACGAGCACAACACAATGAAGAAAAAGGTTTATTACAACCGCCCGGGATGCTGTAACCCGTACCATGACCACACAAAGGCCATGGTAGCTACAGAGGATGCACCGAAGCCTGACCAAAGGATCAGCGTGATTTTACTTGTCATGATCTCACAAGGGCTGTGAACACTGGCGACACACGGGAGCAGGGACGTTGGATGAAAGCACCAGCATCATGCCGTATCGTGACCTGGCCAGCGCCGAAAAATGGAGTAGGGAGGTATAATTACCATGCGGTAGTAGCACCACAAGGTAGGCGACCATCAAAGCCATGACTTTCGTACCCTGAGCATGGGCAGGCCATATGCAATGAATAGTTTGGCGAATCCAGCATGATCTTCGCCTCATGACCGAAAGACGGCATGGAACACTATCGTGCTTGGCGCGGGCAGCTGCGCTCCATTCCCTGCGCCAATATGGTCTCATCGCTGACGTTTGCGGCTTTGCAATCTCAGCATGCTCTTAGTGTCTTTTTGGCTCGTCTGAGCTGGATCTGAATCTCAAGTCGAAGTCTGTTGGAATGCAACAACTCAATAACGGCCACTGACAATCGGGGTGGCCTGGCCTTTGCTACAGAACGTAGAGTCTTACTGAGGACGACGGGGGGAGGGGGAAGATTAACTGTTTGGTTCCAAACTGGTCTTGGACAATGACTTCCCTCTGACCGTCGCATCTGTCACCAATCCGCAGTCATGCGGGGCCAAATATGACGGGGCAACTTTGCGAAGCTCTTGCACGAGCAGCAGGAAGCTTGTTGCAGAACCCAAAGCCATAATCCCTAAACTGGATACCCCACATCTACACCGCAAGCTTCCTTCTTTGGCAAGCTGCCTGAACGAGCTGGGCTACCCACACAAAGGGTGGGAGGCGGAGCCCACTCACGGGTCTCTACACTGCTCCTGGGCAGGCCTCGTGCGTGCAACTCGCAAAGCTACCACAACTGCATGGGTACTAGTCTGTTATGAAATGGTTTCTTCTGGGAACTCCCACCTCATTCCCTGTGAGTACCAGGGAGATAAGCTGACAAGAGCTGGTCCCAAAATGACGAGCCATGCCCTTTCCAACCGCTATGGGCCTTGACTGCGTGGCATTCTGTGAACTGTCTTTAAGGTAGCTACTGACTAGGGCTAGGATATCCATCCCCAACTTCAAGCCATTAGGGATTCAGCCATTTTGCTGAAGCTGCTCCAGTGACTGGACCATTGCAGAACTGGGCAGGATTTGAAATCTCCAGGTCACAGCGATGGATGTCCAAGCTGCTATGCCATGAATTCTGCGTTTCCTCGGCCAGCCTTGTCTTAACTTGCACGTGAGGTCCAATACAGAATGAGCTACGTGGGACATCAACTCTCGCCAATCGTTGCATGCTTCTTACTACAAGAGCTGGGGACGACTCACAGTTGGTTCATGTGGCCAAGGCGTGCCCAAAAAGCATCATGGCATGCTCCTTTGCTTGTTGGCTTCTACGTGACCGCTCAGGGTGCAGAAGCAAGCATTCAAGTGAAGCAGATCGACTGCCGGCAAGTTAGTTGTTGAAGGTGCAATGGAGTTGAATCTTGCAATATGACAGGCACTAGTATTGTTGTGTGTAATGCTCGGCATAAGTCCTCCAGCAATTGCTTTTGTGCTTGCCAATATCTTCTAATGGGTTTAGGGTGCGGGGCCTCTGGGAATCCTGCATTTCTGCACGGGCTATACAGCGGTACTGTTATGCTTGTATAGTATTTGTCTAACATACTGCGCCATAATGGTTTCTGCTACTTTTTTACGATTGTATGACTTGGCAGAAACCAGGCCAACCAGCCAACTGCCGAGCTACACTTGTGCAGGCAGTGGACATCTCGGCAAACAAACCTGGTTGCGGCACACAAAATGTCTCAGCAAGAGTGACAAGAATCATACTACTGTCAGGAACCAGGCTCACTGTGGCCGCAGGAATAACAACTAAATCTCATAACCCCAAACCACAAACTCTAAAACCTTAAAACCCTGATTTCACTATGAGCTTCCGTCCGGCTCTGCACTGCCCAAGGGATGTTGGTGACCTGGTGGTTACCAACCAATGTACAGCTGCTCTCATGGCCGCACTGTGCTCCAACCCCCCCCAATTCACAAACAGTGCCTCGATGTCTAGGTCCTGAGTACTACAAAATGGCATGGAGAGCAAAGATTTGAGGCGGCAGGCCCTGAATAAAGTGGAAGGCAGAAGTGCAACGCCACTACACGTTGCTGCAGAGAAGATTGAACGTCGGAGAAAAAGACAGCGCTTCTCGGATCAGGAGAAGCTGTTCATTTCCTGATGTGCTTGGCTGGCTGCATGGCCCAAGCTGGGTTTGAAGCTACGGCCCTCATCTTGCCCGCACACTTTGCAACTCTGACAGCATGATTGGACCGCGCTGTTCTGTGCTGCTCTACCCAATTCAAAGCTGCATGTCTTGCACACTTAACACCATCTTGCTTACGATCTTCCTGCACAAAAGAGGTAGCAAGAGTTTTTGGGGTTGGTGACCTGGATCATCATGCTGCTTTGCTGCCGAGAGTCTTCGGCGGATGGAGCAAGCTCTTGGCTCAAAGGATCCTAGGCGATGCATGCTCAGAATGATGACCTGAATTCCGCGACTTAGACCTGAACAAGCTTTGACGAGAGGCTACCTTGAGCTCCTGCTTCTTCTCCTCCCCTGCCCGCAGGCGCCCCCAGGCATGCCAGGTGCCTGCATGTAGTACAATCCTATTTGTGGCATGACATCCGAAATCTAGAATCTAGATATGAGAAGTTGCTCACCCTCAACCCCTGGCCTCCGACCAGGGCAAATGTACATCCACATAACTTCCTGGAGTCGAAGTGGTCTCCCAACCTCCGGAACACAACTCTGGCACAAGCAGCGACTGTTACTGCACAGAAGCATGCCCAAAGTGAGAATGCACACAGCGCAGCCCAAACCAGCCCAGGCGCATCATTACTCCGTAGCATAGCACTACCACTTTGTCCTGGGCTTCGGCTTGCAAGGACAAGCTGTCAATGAACACTGCACCATGTTCTGCTGGCTTTTGCGCATGCAGGCATGCAACAGCTGCTGGCTGCTTCCCAGAACACGGCGGTGATTTGTTGCACGCTCAGATTAAGTCTGAGCATCAATGTTCGTGACTACCAGGGCGCCAGTCGCACTAAGATTGCGTGACAGGCCAATGCCCGCATAGGCGATGGCAGCACCTTCAGGGGCCAGCATGCTTTCTGCAGAGGTGGGACGGCCTGCTAGCAGTTCATCACAAGGCATTACTTGTTGCTTCTGGACCGCAGTATACTCATGTGCTGTGATGCCGAAATCCAACCAAACACCTGCGGTTGGCCCAATGTCCTCCCAAATGTTACAATTTCACGCTCATAGGCACAGGGTTTTCCCGCTGCCTCCAATGCAAGAGGCTATGGACCAAGCGATTCCAGCTGGCGTCCACTCTACCTTCGGCGACAATACCACGCCACATTATTACTTTCCTGCAAACCCTCTTACTGGCTGTTAGGAGGGACTATGGGAATTAACCCCTATAGAACCCTATATAATCGTATGTAACCCCTATAGAAAAAAACATATACATATATACATATATATATACACACACACACATTTTTCCTTATTCCCTATTAACCCCCAGTAAGTCCTGGGGGCAAATTAACAAATCCTAGCTGGGGCCTCGTGAAGCTCCGTGTGCATCGGGAAGAAGAGCAACACGGTCGAGAAGCCCAGGCCCACAGCGTTGGACACGAGCACTAGAGCCTCACACTTACTATTCTTACTATTACTTCTATTGTTTAAACTATGAATATTGTTACTACTACGATCATTGTTACTACTAAAAACTGGAGCCTCTCTTGCCCAGCATTCCATGGGTGAACATCTGCTATTCTAGCGAAGCAGGGGGTGCTTTTTGTAAGATGCTCCCCCGCTTTGTGAGGGGTCCGCCCTCGCTCTGGCCATTAATCTGAACAGTCTACTTGCCACAGCTGCGGCAGAGGCGCTGAGGACGACAGGGACACTGGCATTTCCTGGCCATCATGTGAAGCTAGACAAAAAAACCAACATCCGCATGAAATTCTTCAATTGAGGAAAGAACAGTCGCGGTGCCCAATGAAGATTCAGTGGCTGGGGGGTGCTTGCAGTTTGCAATAGAACGCATGCGGGATAATACAGCCGCTCGCCAAGAACGCATTACTAAGACCTATCAATCCTGTCAACAGGTAGTTTCTTGCTACTGCTGCTAACACTATAGAAGCCTCACACTTCTGCGTCAAGTTGCGCTTATTTGCATGGCTACGCACCACAGACCCCACCTGCAGGAGGTAGCGCTGTGCCAGGCGATCCAGGCACAGGAAGGCTGCGTCCAAGACCACCAAGAAGATGCCTAATGCTTCCTCGTCATGCGCTATACTCTCAACTCCTTAAAGGGTGGTTATATAGGAGGCTCAGGATCTAAATCCCTAAAAGGGGGGGTATATAAGGTATTTAGGGTTTAGGGTCCAAACTTCTTCAAGGGGGTATTTATATCAGGCAGGATTATCAGGGTGCTTAAGTGGCATAATCAGTGGGATATTAGGAGTTTAGATTATACTTCTCATGCTTGGGTAAGGGATCGAATTCAACCACCGCCAATGATTGTTACTGCTGTATGTTACAGTATCTACGTACGTATTCTTCATGGGCATCCCGCCATTCACAATGCTTTGCAAGCTCCCTGGCCTGTAGGTAACCCAGGACCACTAATTTCCCAGAACATCCTTTAAAATGCAGAGCTACCCTGGGCCGTGCAAATGATGAGAACATGTGTGAACTGGCTTCGTACTGAAAACTAACCACGTGCCATATGGAAAGCCGCGCATTGGCTTGCAGACCCATGCTTAACCCTTTCTCCAGTCCTTGGTGGAGAGGTCATCTGAGCAGTAGACAACCACGCCTCAACACTAACAGCTCAAAAACTTGAAAGAGAACGGATTGTTTTATAATCTCTGTTGGCATGGATTCTTTTGGTGCTTTGTTCGCCTCAACCTTGGCTGGTGCACACCGTAGGTTAGGATTGCTCTAGAATGTTTTATAAACCACATGCCACACAAGACACAAGGCTGCATGGGCCAAGAAAACCCCGCCTATCAGGATCATCGTCAGCGATATGATGGCATCCTTTGTGATCGGGACGCCAAACATCAGCCGCTCCGCTCCCAAAAGAATGAGAGGGCTGGCGTTCCGTATGACTGTCAACGTGGAGAGAGAGGCATACATCCTTAGCGAACAACATCTGCAGAACCCCCCAAAAGCGAAGCTGCACATAAAGTTAAAATTAGTGCTGCTTGTAGCAAGCTCGGAAAGGTTGTGCGTCCTATAGCTGGAAATTGAAAAATTTTCGCTGCGGTCCATTAATGCGTCACATGTTCCTTCTCCAAACTTCAACATTGTAAAAGGGTGACTGGGTAGTAATATATATTGATATATATGGCTTCGGTCCACCAAATATCTTTCGTCACTTGCGGTCCAAGCTCAGATCTCAACAGGCTGCCAATATGAAATGGCTCAGCTACGTATGTGTTAACCTACTGACGAATTAGCTAAAAAGGAGAATTTGAGCCCAAGTCACATTGTAACAACCTGGAGTGACAAAGCACCTACACCGCAAAGCAACAGTAGTGATCAGGGTGAGGTTTCTAGACTTTTACACCCCGCACGTCGAGTTGCAACTTGCTGCGCGAAACAATCTCACAGGAGCTCGAACTTTTACAACACACAACTGCGTAAAGTGCGAATAGCAGAGTGCAATCTTCACTAGAACGCCAGGGAAGACCCTAGAGCGTAATTGTGAGACGTAGACATGCCCTTCAGCGTGTGTCAGGGAAGACCCTAGAAGGCAAGAAATACATCCATTACACACCTAAATGGCGATTGGATATGAGAGCGCCGCATTGGTCTTTGTCTCAAGGATCAATCGTCCATCGCACTGAAGTCGAAATTTGGAAAGTAGGGAGTTCCCCTTCTTGCAGCATCAGGATTTGCTGAAGCCCTGATCTGAAAAGGGATGTTCTTGCATTCTTCTCTGCACATCTTCCCTTTTAAATTGCTTGCAAAGTTGACCATTGATGATCGTTGCGAAGCGCTTCTGGTACAGGGTGCAGAATTCTTTTCCAAATTGCACACCAACCTGCTCCGCGATGAAAAGGTTCTCGGGATCGAGCCTTTCGCACTTCTTCTGGCTCTCATAGAGGCCCTGAAAACTCTGTCTCTGACCACCTCCCTTGGCATGCGCTGGTACCTCACGTAAGGGAATTTCTTCGCGTTTGAGAACAAGAGTCTCACCCTGGAGCTAATAAGACTGCGCTGACCCAGGCCCTGATTTGGACGGATCTTTCTGTATCCTTGAGCGTTGACAACAATCAATGGGGCCAAGAACTCATTGACATTCATAGTCGTAGAAGCCCAAAGATAGATGTTCCAGATGTGAGTCTGCGTCTGGATCACCTCGTAGCAGTGGTCCGGATTGTCGCAGAACAACAAGGAAGGATCTTTGGGGTCATACCCGTTCTTGTTCATCCAGTCCACGCGGGCAGCCTGGTGTGACTCCCAGATGAAATATTCATCCTTTGTTGGAGGTCGAGGAAGTTTGGAATGTTCATCGATGAACATGGGGCAGAACCAAGGCCTTCTTCAGGGAAACCCAACTCTCATTGCTGATGTTGGGCTTCACCCTCGCGCAGGCAATTTTCATGCTCATTCGGAGCGTAAACGCGCGCCGGTTCATCGGTGCACAATTGTTGAGTACAGAATCCATTGCGCAACGAAATATTTTTGCAAGCAAATGCACGTCAAAACAATAAGAAATCTTACGCGTGCCTTTGCAAAAACACTGTGTTTTGCAGGGGATTCTCATCGCCAGGAATTTCAGATTTCAAAGCTTTCTAGATTAAAAATTGCTTGCAGAGGGTTTTATGTTGTAGGAGTGGTATTGAAGGGTTGAGAGGTCGCACGGGGTATAGTAACGGAGGCGGAGGCTTGAAAGGCATCTTTGTTGCGGAGGAAGTGCTGCGCTTGTCTGGGGCCTCATGGTGGTGACTTGCAGGTCGGGAAACCCGTGAGAGTTAGCAACTAAACCGGACAGGCTCCACAAAAAAAATCATAAACCTGCATGTGGCAAGCGTCTACACGTGTGTCATGGCGAGTACACTTCAAATCTCTGAAGGCAACATCGGGTAACTTTACTCTAAGGACCTGAGAAGCAGACCCTGGAGAAGCAGACCCTGGGAGCATACGTCACGGCGTTATTATGATGCGGGCACGGATGCTCTGGTTATCGTATCATTGACCCCTATCCGTGGTCTAGATCCCCTCAAGGGCTTTTTATTAAGAATAAAACTAAAGGACCGGAGGACCCCACATGTGTAGTTTAACCTGGATGTAAATGAGATACTATTAGTATATTAGGATAGCGTCGCCCGGCGAAGAAAGGACGAGATATATTAAAAGAAAGAATATAAGAAGACGGGTTGTTAACTCGCGCTGATACGGAGAGCTACGAGAAAGCAACAACGATCGTTCCGAACGATGTAAAAAGCTGGCGCACGCGGAGGACAAAAAAACACATATGTTGAGAGCGGTGAGCTCGTCGTTCATGTAACCGAAATGATCTGCTCAGTGAGGAAACACCTTAGCGTGGACTGTAAAGTGCACAGCTATAAGCCATGGGAACAAAACAGTGAAACCGAACTCCAAGCCATATGTTCAGCGCGCGCGAAATGAGCATGTGACAACGTCGTCCCGTCCTGAGAGAAACAGGTTTCAAGGAACGATGAAGGCTTCACAGCGGTGGCTGCAGCAGCAAGGCCTGGCCCACATCGAAGACACGGCAGCAGGTTCCTGACAGAAGAAAAGGTACATGACTCATGTGTGTCTACCATGAGAGAAGCATTCAAATTCTGGCGGCGTGAACATCATCCAACGACTGGCATTTTTTAATCCCGGCTGCGTCCTCTCTTTTGGCGCATGTCTAGACTACCCACTCTAAATGATAGGTGATCGTTCCCTCGTCAGCCTGTGGCCTGCACGAGATCGGCGTGCACCTACGTGGAGCCCCGCACCCGCTCGAGCTCGACATCTTCGACCTCATCGCATCATGAATCGGTCTCTCTTCGCCAGCGCTCTCATCTCCTGGGCTATTTTGTTCCAGAAGACACAGATCCTCATCCCGCCGCCTCTTGCACTTCTCACGACGAGTGCTCGTCGGGCCTTCCAAAAGATACAGATCCTCGTCTCGCCGCCTCTTGTGCTTCTCATGACGAGCTCTTACCAGACCTTCCAACTTAGCAATGCGTTTCACAACCAGTGCCGAAGTATACTCCACACACATCATACCGCCGGACAGATCAGCGGACGAGCTCACAAAGCGTTCCATCCCGGATCGCTCACGCTCACTGTCCACTCGTGCCAAGGTCAACTCTTCCGCCATCTCTCTAAGTACTAAGAAGTTACCACTAACTGTAAGAGCTTGAACGGAACAGCTACCAGAGAACACAATTTTGGCAGAATTTACAATGAAATACGCACACACACACACACAAGACCAACATGCCAAAGCAAAACACAATCACATTGGATACTTCATATGTCCAAGCCACAAACAAAAACACCGAGCAGGTTGCAAAGCCATTGTTTGCCCACAACCGGCAACTAACTTTAGTCACAGATCGTGTGGAGTTGCAGGCCACTCATCGCTTCATACACGACATCGACGACATCCACCTGAAAAAAGATTCACTCGAGGTACACTGCTGCCGGCATCGCACGCCTTTCCATCACGGATCGGTCGCACTCTGCACAGCCGTCGACATCAATGAATTCTCCACGCAGTCAAAGGTGAGAGATCCAGGTGCTGCACCAGCGCACGAGCATAGCTCTTAAGAGATCCCTGCAGATCCCTCACCAACTCGTCGCAGCTTTGCGCGCCGTCGAGCAAGACGGCATCCGAGTGAGAAACCCCTTTTACCTTGGCTGGAAGACCAGGACCGTTCGGACCAACAATGACTGCCACATTGTAGACACGTCTGCTCCGCGGAAACTCTGATAGAGATCGTTTTCTTACCTGCGCAACAGAGAGACAGTTTTGCAGCAGGCGCAACGCCGCTCGGCCCACTGATTTTTCGGGCAGAGACTGCGCACGTCTTTCATAGGTTCCAGTAGATCCAGCAAACGAATTTCTCCCTGCGGTTTGCAAGGCAATGTCGCATCAGCGTGCAAAACTTCCGCAAACAAACCCATGTGATCCTGGCGCCGCACGAAATTATGTGGAACGCCCAACCACAGTTTCAGCAAGGCACGAACCCGCACCATGAGCAAGAGGGCACCATTGCGCTCGCCGCCCAACACCGCAGAGGACGAGGAACTCAGAGGACATACCCTGTCACCGCCCAACCAAAACTCCACAGGCTCGTCGAGGTCAGACGACACGCAAGGTCAAGGTCGCAAGGCCCTGTCCCAGTATCCCTGACCAGAGCCTTGCCACGGGTAGTTTCGCCAGAAGGCGTACAAACCTCCAGCGCGATCTCCATCACGATCAGGCCCACCACGAGAGCCCTTCGACCTCGAGCAGAGAAGACAGATGAAAACAGGTACAACATGATGAAACAGGGTCACCCTGCAGATGAAGCTCCCGGGGTGCAATAGCGTCTCTTGCAGGTGCTGGAGCATGGCAACCCGCACCTCGTAAGTCTCCCACAGAGAAGGAAACTCCTGACGCTTGGCCAATTTGCTCCGAGCTTGAGATGCCAACTCCTCTGCCTCACGGAACCACTCCAAGAACGACCGAGTGAACGCATTAGCTGCCAGCATGCACACAGACTCCGACGTTTTCTGCGTAGGCTGGCGCAACTTAATTAGTGAACGCATCGAGCACCAAGTCGTCCTGGCTCTGACTGCTGCGAGGACTCGCAGAAACTGCAAAGGGTCGACACTGCAACTGCTTGTACATCGCGTTACGCTCGCGGTCGTACTCGGACGGAGGCATCGTGAAACCCTCGAACATAGGAACATGCGGCTCAGAAGAAATGCATTGACAATGAGAGCCATGCAACTTGTAAGAAGGGTGAGAAGGAATGTCCAGAAACCGTGGCGCAGCATCTCGAGCAGGCTTACGGCCCTTTAGCGGAATCTGCACGCGGCACACCCACATCCCATACGACGACCAAAAGGTCCGCCAAAATAGGACGCGAGCCTCGAAACATGTAGTCCTCCAAGCAGGCGCT